GAGAGCAACTAGGGTCACGTAACAATGTATGTATAAATTTTTGTATGAGAGACTAACTTGAATGGTAAACTTTCAGTTAAAGTACAACAATAAAATAATAAAAAGACACTATCTCAACATCTTAGAACTCAGTCCAGTGGAAGAGACAGGCATTCAAACAGTCACAATCCAGTAAATAAATACCTTCATAGCAGTAAGACACAAGAACTTGGCAGTGAAGAGGAGGTAATTTTATTAATTGTGATTCATTGTATTAGATAAGAGAAACTTGAAACAACCTATATAAAAGGTTAAATTCTTGAAGTTATCTTCTATGATTCTTTAAATGACTGACTTCCTTCAGTCTGTCCTGTTATAATAGTATTAACATATTTTTTACACGTAATAATTGAGTTGAAAACATACTGAGGGTACCAGGCTCTCATCAAGAAAATCATCTGTAAAATAATCTCTGTAGTGAGGTATAACAAAACTCAATAAATAAATTCCAAATCAGAAGATCAAATTAGTCTTTACAATAAAACACTCCTTGACAAGTGCAGGCACTTGGCAGTTGGCCAACATCTGAACAGAAATGAGAGAGAATCCTGTTATCAGCTCAGCTTCATGCTACTGAAATAGTATGAAGCGTTTCCTCCCCAACTCTCCTGACCACACACTCACGTGAGGCCTGTGTTAATAAGCCCACTAACAGCAGGAAATTACAAAAGTGTAGGATGGAAAAATCAGGGCTCTTACAACCCAAATGAAACCCAGATTTACATGCCATACTCCATTCTAGCTCCCTAGCCATTCTGACTAGTCATCATATTTATCACTGGAGTGTTTACAGCTGGAAGAAGGTGGGACCAGATGGCCCTGCCTTGACATAATCTGGCAACCAGCAGAACATTTGCTAGAAGTCTAGAAAACTATCATTTAGCTACCATCTGAGGAAGAGAAAGGATATTTGGAGGCAGTGGAGATGCCATGGGGAGATCAGAAAAAAGTCTGTCTTGAATCAGGAAGCCATGAATATAAATGTTTTCATACAGCTGAAATATGTTAATCAAACTCAGAAAAAGCTTAAAGTTGTAATTTAATCTGGTTACTATGAATCTGAAAATTTCCACATCTTATGTGAAAGCTTCTAAGAATAACGAACACCTTTAAGAAGTTAATTTTAAAATTCAAAATAATTTTTAAAAATATTTCAAGATATACATCTTACTTGAACGTCTTGAAATTCTTTCAGTTATATGTTATAAAATAACACTGATTCCTAAAACACATTTTTTAATGTACACAAACTTTATTGCAGAGAAGAGATGAATGTGGTGACCCTTTTTTGTGAGCAGTGTAGGGAATGTGGGGTCATTCTCATTTAAAAGGAAGCTGAGGAACCAGCCACCGCCACACTCGGAGGAGCATGAACATCAATGAGAGGTGGCGATGAGGTCCTAGGAAGGGTAAATGATCACCATAACCCTCTACGTGTTTTGTGGTAATGAACAAATAAAATAAATAAATAAAATCTAGTTTAAAAAATAAAACAAAACTCTATCCTATAAAAGAGTTAAAATATACCTATAAAGCACGTGATAAATAATTAATACTTTCACGATATAGAGAATTTGTATAAGAAAAAAGATGAACACTGTCAATAAAGAAGCGGCAAAGGATGTGAACTGGCAACCCTACCAAAACAAATATTAAATGACTACAGTTGTTGTCAGCTGCCGTCGAGTCAGTCCCCGACTCATGGCAACCCCACGTGCAACAGAATAAAACACTGTCTGTTCTTGCACCATCCCAAGATCAGTTGCAGATGAGACCATTGTGATCCACAGGGTTTTCACTGGTTGATTTTTAGAAGTACGTGACCAGGCCTTTCCTCCTAGTCTGTCTTAGTCTGGAAGTTCTGCTAAAACCAGCTGAGCTCAACCTGGGTGTCCGTCGTGGAAGCAGAGAATTCTGCCAGTGAACCACCACTGCTCCCCTAAAATGACTAATGAACAGGGGAAAAAAAAATTTCTGCACCAATAACTAATGAAAATAAAATTAAAACCACATCAGAACACTTTGCTTGAATGACTGACAATGAAAACGTGATGGTGAAAGTGTGAATAAATTTGCACAAAATATTTGGAGAACAACTTGGCAATAAATATCAAAAAAGTTTTTTTTTTTTAAAAAATGCACATACTCTTTGATCTAGTTATTCTTCTTATAGGAATTTATCCTAAAGAAGAAATTAGGAAATGACCAATATTTAACTATAGAATTCATGTTAGTGTTGTTTGCAATGCATTATGGAAAATTAGAAGCCACCTAAATGTACAATAATAGATTTATTTAAATAAACTATGGAACACCATTCCAAACCCTGGAATACTAGGTTTCCATTAAAGGTTATCATGTATTTACTGACAAACAATCACAATACACTCTGGGGGAAACATAGTTTATGAAATAGTAAACATAGTATGATTCCATGTATGTGTGAGTGTGTGTTCGTGTGTTTTGTCTGTATGTATATAAATAAACTATGTACAGACACACAACCAACACACTCATAGAAAACAGTGAGTAAAGATAGTCACCAAATTGTCCACAGTGATAGTCTTGTAATGGTTTGGAGCTGATATTACAAGTAATTTTTGCTTGCTTATTTATACTTTTCTATGTCTTCCAAATCTTTACCACAAATATGTAATACATTGATAATCATCAGGTAAAGGTTTTAGAAAACTGATTTGCTGAGTTACAACAGTGATAACGTAAAAGGGCTAAGATTAGCTATAAGATCTATAGATGGCTTTGGACACCAGGTCAGCAAACACTGATTCCAGGGGAAATCTTTCTCTTTGGCAGTCTACTTTGTGCCTTAATCTTACACGTGTGTGCAAATGTTTGCACATAAAATCATGTGATTTATAGGGGTAACTGCAATTTCAAATCACTCTTAGGATAACAGTATGTTCAGACTAATGTGTAAATGGATATAAAATCGTCTAGGGCCCACTTTGCTTCTCACTCACCCACAGCACATTCAGCAAGAACCTGTGATGTGCCAGGTGCTGGCGACCCAGTGATGAAATGAGGCAAAGCCCTTATAGTCCAGAAACTCCCAGGCTGGGACACAATCATAATGCAATGGGAAAAACACTAACATTGAGGAATTTACAAAGTGCTATGTAACACAGAGAAAGGGGCAATGAGGTCTGCAGTCAGGGAGGTTTTCTGAGAAGGCTTCAAAGAGAAAGTGAGCTAGGAGCAGAATCTTATAGGATGAGCAAGAATTCACCCAGTTAGTGGGTGGGGACACTGAGGTTGTTCTAGGACAAAATAAAAGCATATAAAAACAGACGGCAGCACAAGATGATGATGGTGGTGTGGTGGTAGTGATGATGATGATGATGGTGATGATGAAGATGGTGGCTAGTATGTATTGCGCCCTTTGTGTTTGAAACTATACTGTGTAAATATTAGCTTATTTAATCCACACGATGAGGTAGATACTCTGTATACATCTTATAAATGAGGCAAGTGAGGAACAAAGAGATTATAAAAACATTCATCTGTATAGCTCATATTTGGAAAAGCCATGATTCAAACCCAGGGAATCTGGCCTAGTAATTTACACTCTTAACCACTACACGTACTGCCTCCAAAAGACAGTGATACATTTAAAAACAGTAAGTTGTTCAGCTTGACAACTTTCACTGAACATCCACAGTGGTCCAAACTCTGTGCAAGGTGCTGGAGATAAAGGGATGAGAAAAGCACAGCTTGCAAGCAGAGCCCCATTCTAGCAGGGATGACACAATGTTTATAAAACAATGTTATGCACGTGGTCTAGAGGCACTACAAAAGAAAGGGCAATTGATTCTGCTGTGGTATCAGAAATAGGGAAAATGTCTCAGAAGACACGATCACTAATGAAGGTTTTATATAATAAAGTGAAGCTCTCCAAGAAGATTTGGGGATGAAAGAAACACATTTCAGGTGTCCAAAGCAGACTAGGAGGATGTACGAAGGCACGATGTATGTGTGCAGGAGGGTAACTTCAGGTATTAGGAGGGTGCTGGGGTGGAAAAAAGGAGCCCTGGTGGCGCAGCAGTTAAGCGATCAGCTGCTAACCAAAAGGTCAGTGGTTTGAACCCACCAGCCGCTCGCTCCACAGGAGAAAGCTGTGGCAGTCTGCTTCTGTAAAGATTTACAGCCTTGGAAACCCTAGGGGGCAGTTCTACTCTGTCCCATAAGGTCGCTGTGAGTCCGAATTCAACTCGACAGCAATGGGCTTGGGATTTAGGGTAGCAAAATATTTTAAAAGAATAACAGGATTTGGTGAGCAACTGGATAAGTAGGATGAGGGAATGAGTGGAGTCAGAAATGCACCTGAGGAAGGAACGGCAGTTTCCAGAGACGGAAAACACAGAGGGTCAATCTACAGCAGTGATCCAACTGTCAGGACCAAAATTTCCTTTAAAGCAGGCAATTTATCTGACCTCCTAAAAAACACAACCAAGCCTGCTGCCTAAGAGTCGATTCTAACTCATACCGACCCTATAAGACAGAGTAGATCTGCCCCATAGGATTTCCAAGGAGTGCCTGGTGGATGTGAACTGCTGACCTTTTGGTTAACAGCCAAGCTTTAAACCACTGCGCCACCAGGGCTCCATATATCTGAGAGTTTAAAAAAAAAAAAATAAGTCCAACTTGTTTTTCCAAGGATAAACCAAGAGAAAACACAACTAGCTGCCTCTGGGAATGTGACACATGGGGCTGGAGGCAGCCAGGTGAGTGCTACCTGACTCAAAGTTAAGGTAGATTGCATGCGTATTTCAAAATTACCCTCTACTCTGAAAGCACTTTAGACATTCAGAATTTGAATTACATAATTTATCTTAAAACTGCCAGATACTATAATACATATATTTTAAAACACATACATAATCAAATAATAATTCTAACTATCTATGGTAGAAAAACTACAGATACAATAAGTTATACTGTACCTTTAGGTGATAATGAGGTTTTGGATAAATTTAAATGTTTTAGTCCCTTTGGGAGTTTGGCAAACTGAATACTTAAAGAGGACACACCTGAGAAAAAGAAAAAAGAGATTATTAGAATTTCAAAATTCTCAGAATTGTATTTGTTTTATAATGCCAGAAAATTAAATTTGATTCCAATTGTGATCACATTTTTCTTTCTAATGTCCGTCTTTATTTTCTAATCAACTACCAGCATGTCTGCTTTTCTCTCTGTCCCACCTATAGGGTATGAGAAGCTAGGAGACTGCTTAATTAAGCATGACAATATCTGAAACTTTACCATTAGGGATGTTTTGGGGCCAAGCATTACCCTTTACCTTGTGGCCCTGTTTGAAATGCAAATCCTCTTGGGAAGAATGAAACAATTGTCCGCCACTCCTTTTCTTTTTAACCTCTGTCTTAATGAGTTGATCTCTCTTTTGGATGAGCAGATGCATGGTATTTAATTATTGTCGAGACAAATGGTGTAATATTAATGGTGTAATATTAACTATTCAGATAACAGAGTCACTTTTAGCAGATGGATTCCAATACTTACTTGCCTTATGGCTAACAACTTCAGACATTTGTCAGTATGCTTTAATTTCTTAGAGATAGGTTTCGAACCTTGGAATAATTCACCAGGAATTTACAGTATTTAAGATTAGATGTTTTCTAAACACAATGGCCAGAGTGAGTGACTGGGAACATCACCTAACTCACCCAGAGATTGCAACGAATATAGAACTGCTTCCTGGAGAGAAAAAAATAATAAATAGACTTAGGCTTTTCCTACAGGTTTTTTAGTCAATCTCATGGTGCAGGTGAGTTATCATCTTCCCAGGCGCATCTCCTTAGACAGGCTCCTTATGTTCTATAGGACAAAATTAAACATATGTCCCTTCAGGCTAACTCTCAAACTATAGACAGCGGTTAAGAACTACTGTCTTGGTTGCTGCTCTACTATATAACTCCAAATTCTCTGCAAATTTTATCAAAGATTACAAGAAAAAAATAACTTCCATAGAAACAACCTAGAGGGCATACAGTTTGACTAAGCCTCTAAATGGGTGTCTCTTCAAGAATGTTGGGTGTTCTGCAAGCCCTGTCCACCCACCCCTACAGAGTGGTCCACAGTCAAATGCATTTGAAAATCATTGGATTACAGAATGCCACGCTTTTTTTTTTTTTTTTTTTTTTAATAATCATGATAATGTGGTTTATTAGGGAAATAACAGACTACAACTTGGGATCAGGATCAACTTGGAATTAACAGAATACAACTGTAACCAACAGGGTTAAACTGTTCCCTCTCCTCCCATCACTACCCCCGACCTGTGAGTTCCTGATAAGGCATTTCTGTGTTACAGCCCAAGGTTGTATTACTGCTTCTCTGCTCAGGGCCACTTCACTACTCACCAACTGTCCCCCACTTCCATTCCAACATGAGCAATAAGCCACAAAGCTGTCCTCAGATAAACTTAATGTGTCATACCCCCCCTAAAAAATGCCCCCAGCCTCTATATTGCACTCCCCACTGTACCCATTTGTTCCTGAAATTGCCCTCCTATTCCCAGAAACTTCATGAATTATGCATAAGTTCCATATCCGGAACCCTACAACTGCCTTAGAATCCCCAACCTTGGGGAGCTTGATTTGAGACTTAGTGTCTGAGCTCCTTGATTGACCAGCTTGCAGTAAAGTCTACTTTCTCTTTCTCAGAGACTTAGTGTCTCTAAATTGACTCGATGGGTCGTGCTTGGCAGAACCCATCCCCATCGAGTTACACAACTCAGGAGACAGGAAGCAATTCGTCAATTATGGCAGCTTCCAAGAAGACGGTTTTGTTTATTCTTGGACGTGTCCACCAGCAGGCCCTTCTTTTGGTGGTGCCCACCAGTGGCCTCTGCTGTCAGGACCCTCTCCGCCTCTGCCACGCTTGGGTAGGTGATGCAGTTCTTTAGTTCACCAATAAATGTCCAAAGGCACCCTGCTCTGCCAGGAAGCCTCCTACCCTAAGGCCTTCAGGTCTCTCATTCTGTGGGTCAGCAAACCCCTTTATCTCTGCCGCCAACTGCCCAGAGGCACTACACTCCGACAGCAAGCCTCCTGCCCAAAAGCACTCAGCTCTCTTGCTCCCAGGTTTAGGAAGCCCAGTATAGCCGCCTTGTATTGTGTGCCAAGATGCCCACCACACCGTCTCATGATGGTCTTCTGGTTCTTTCGCCTCTCTTCCTCTGCTGTGCTTGTCTTTGCATCTGGCTGTCTTGCACTGTCTCCAGTGTTAACAGCTCTCTGCGTCTCCTGGGTCTAGGGGATGCTCAGCACAGGGACCCTGAGTCCAAAAGATGCACTCTGCTCCTAGTTCTTCTTCTTTTTTTTTAAGAGTCTTCTTTTATTTATTTATTTATTTATTTATTTATATGTTTTTATTGTA